TTTTTACCCTGTGTGAACATCCTGTCACTGCTGTTGATGCAGCTGAATGTATTCATGAGGGACAATAAAGATAATTTCTATTAAAATTCATGTCGACTCATGTTCTATCAGACCACGTGTTTTTAAAGAGGATAAAACATGACAGAAGTATTGTAATGTGTGACAGAGTCTCTGCTGACTGGAACAAACCGAACTGTGAAAATCAGCTCATACTTCATTACTTTAGTTGGACCAACAGCCTCAGGACAAATAAATGGGCCAGAAGAACCCATCCAAGATGGCCGCCGCTCGGATGTTTTTACCTGGATGACGTCAGTCTGTAGGACTTATATGGTAACTCTCTGCCTCTTTACTGTTCACAGCCTGAGACAGGGCTGGAAGAAAATAAAAAAAGTTAGGGTTACAGAGAAATAAAATTAAAAAATAAAATACTTCCGCCCGAACTTTCAGCTTTATTTTGAAAGTTTAATTTTTTTTATATGTGCTGCTATGAGTAAAACGTGTTTCTGACAAATTAATCTATTGAGGTCAGTTTTGGTTGAAACTCGGTGAACAGGAAACCTAAAGCAGTTCAATGTTTTCAGCCCACAGAGGCAGCAGCGCTTTATTGTGAAAAACCACAAAGCGGAAGCGGAACTTGTGTTTGCCTGTTGTTTCCATCGGACGGTCGGACAGCAGTAGAGCTTCCTGCTGCTTTCATCCTGAGCTGCTCACCTGAAAACTCACCTGCCGTGATGCAGCGCAGCTGGCTTCTCTCAGGTCCGCTCACCTGGTTCCGCTTTATAAACAAACAGGTGAGGGTGAAGGCGGGAAACACCGAGGAGCACCTTGGCTGGCTGCTGACCGTGGATCCGGTGTCCGGCAGGTATAAACCCTCAGTCAGGGCCCAGGGGGAAACCCCAGACCCCCCATAGAGWCAGGTCCAAGTCAAACTAGGGTGACCAGATCCCGAACCTGTTACCTGTCTGTCACCTGTGCGTCATGACTTTTAATTTATTATAAATCTGACTATCAGAAACACCTGTGATTAAGAACTTTATTTAAAGTTTAACAGTTTTATATTTTATCATAATGAAACATTAACAATGTTAACACAAGTCCACACCTGGTCTGTTACCTGTCTGTCTGTAAGAACACTAAGCCCCGCCCACCCCGTCCTCTGACAGCATGGAGCAGAAACAGAACAGCTCGCAGCCTCCGGAGAGACCAATAACAGCAGCTGAACTGGATCTGTTTCACAGAGGACCTGTCATGTTTTTACAATAAATTAATRATTRTGTTCATTTCATTCAGTCATGATCACACTGAGCCGAATCAAATCTGATGACTTGTTGTGAAATCAGACGTTTTCCTGTTYATCTTCTGTTGATAAAYCCAGAACACAAACAGCTTTTCTGACAGAAAACATTACACAGTTCTTCAGGAAAAATAAACCTTTTGGTGAATTTTTTTAACAGTTTCCATTAACTTTAAAATCTGTTTTCTGTCACTGTTTGTTTTGATTGACAGCTGCTCTTTGTCACATCTCTTCTCTCCTCCTGCAAACCTGGCAGAAATAAGGAGGAATTATCAAACGGTTCTTAACTGCAGCCACTAAATAACAACGTTGAACAAGTGTTTCCATTTTTAGACTTTTGATAATTTAACTCAGATAAATGTTGGACACCAGGACAAGCTGCAGGACCGTCCCACATTGGAGACAGGTCCAGAAGTACATATCAGTTTAATTTAATCTATTTTAAACAGTTTGACCAGAGTGTTTCCTGTCAAACCAGACACACATGTTCAGTAAAATCATAAAAAGCAACAAAAAAGTGAAATATTGCACTGTAAAGCA